CCCGAGTGACAACAGCAGTCCCAGGTCCCCGCTGCGGCCTGCCGGCGCGAGATGCCCGGCCACCACGGTGCAGGACGGGTGGGTGTGGCCAGGGCCAGGCGGCTCCCCGAGCCGGGGCCAGGCCGGCCAGGGAAGCTGAGCGCGGGCGCCACCCGCCTGGGAACAAGGCCCGGCAGCACCTGGGCGGCGGCCAGCGCCCGGAGCCGCGGTCAGAGTGACTCCGCACACCGGGCAGCTGCCACAGCATTTAATTGTCTCCATCCTCCGGCCCCTCGGCCCGCTGGGGCGGACGCGCCATAGGGCCCAGGCCTCCCTCTGCCCCAGAGAAGGCTCGGGCGGGCGGGGCGGTGAGCCTGGCCCCAGCCCGGGTGGGGTCTCCCGCTGCACCTGCAGCGACGACGACAGGCCCAGCCCGCGGCCCGGCGGCCTCCGCGTGGTGGGCAGAGCCCCGGCCGCCCTCTGGGGGTCGGCGGCATCCGTGTGCTTCTCGGGCGGCCTCAGAGGGTGGCGACGTCGGCCTGGCCCTTGGCCTGAGCGGCCTGGTACACGCTGAGGAGCGAGGAGGTGGTGCCCAGCAGGCCCACCAGCCAGGGCGGGAAGCGGCCGGCCCACAGGACGCCGGGCGGCAGCCAGTGCACGGCGTTGGCCAGGTCGGCCAGGTTGCTGAGGAGCGCCAGCAGCTCCGACCGCGCCTGGGCCTGCAGGGCCCGCCGCTTGCTCCGCGGCAGCCGGCTGCGGGGCAGGAGAAGGCTTGTGGAGGCTGGCCGCACGCCCCCGCTCAGACCGGCTTCCGGTGAGGGGGCCGAGCGCTCCCGGCCCGCCCAGGGTGTGGGCAGACAGGCCTGTGTGGGGAGACGGGAACCCACACGGCCCAGGGCTCCCGAGACGGCGGGAGGGTCAGAGCTGGCCAGTGGGCGGGGGCCTGTGCCCGGCACGGCTTGACCCCAGGCCCTGTCAGGCCAAGTATGATGCGGCCCGGCCCTCTGGAGACCGTCCCCACCCGGCCCCCTTGGGGGCCCGGCCCTGCCTGCTGGGGGCCACGGTCAGCCTTGGCCTCTCCACCCGTCCCGCACACACGCCCGCCACAGGCCAGCACGGGGCAGAGGACTACTGGCGCCGGCCGAGCCTGCCCTGCCTGCGGGAGAAGGTGGCCGCTCCCCGGCCCAGCCCGTACCTGGCAGCGCCCCCCTCCGCCGGGCTCCTCAGCCTCCGTCTCAGCTTCAGGACCATCCACAGGGATCTGCAACACCAGAGAGCAGTCCCAGAGGGGCAAGACGCGCAGGGTGGGGCAGCTCCCCAGGACCGGGGGGCTCGGGGCTAGAGAGGCCGCACAGCGCCGCCCCGCCGCGTCCGCCCAGCTCTTCAGTAGCCGCCCCACTGTCTGCACCTTCCACAGCTCCCAGAGCCCCAGGTCTGGCCCGGCCTGGGGACACGTTCCTAATTCAGGCCCCCGAATGCCCGGATTCAGGGGCACCCAATGCTCGATGTGGCCAGTCAGCCCCAGCCAGTGTCCAAGGGACATCAGGTGCGGGGGAGGGCGCTCGCCGGGGGCCCTCTGGAGACTGGGCTCGTGGGGGCGGCGGGGGCCGCTGTCTCCCCCTAGCGCCCCAGCCAGCTAACTCACTCGGTAACGGTAGAAACGAGGTCTGAGACAAAGCCAAGGGCCAGCTCAGGCGGGAGCCCCTAGACCTGGCTAGCGGGGGTCACTGAGTCTTCCGCCCTGGGGGTTGCCCACCCCCAGTAAGCATGTAACTAGGGCATGCTGCCTCCCACCAGGAGTCTAAGGCCTCGGGGCCCGGGGCCCGGACCTCGGACATGGCTGCCCCACCCTGCCCAGGCTTTGCTGGGACGGCCCTGAGCACCCACCCAGCGGTCCGCGGAGACTGTTGAGGAGGAAGCCAGTATTTTAAAGTTCCAGAAACCCCCGGCTTCTGGCCGTACAGCCGGTGTCTGCTGACCGGCACACAGGCGGCTCCCGGCCACCGCCCAGGCCCAGTGGCCCCGGGGGGCAGTCAGCCCCGCAGACACCATGTGGGCAGCACCGGGCAGGACTGGAGGTCTGCGGACAGGACGGCCCGCGACCTCAGGCGCCTCCCAGGAGGCGGAGGAGGGTAGAGGCAGACTGAATAGAAGGGGCGCCGGGACTCCGCCTCCCCTAGACGCTGGTAAAGCCGAAGCCGCCTCCCCCAGCCCCCAAGAACTCTGTAGCCCAGTGAGTCTGCTGGAATTCCAGCCCGGGGTCATCTGTTTTGTTTTACAGTTGGCCACAGTGACCTCAGGCCCTGGCGGCAACAAGAGCAGGGCTGGGCAGGCCCCGGGCGTCTGGGCACTCGCGCTGCAGGCGGCAGCCGCCCGCTTACCTGGCAGTCCCCAGGAGCAGGGAGAGGCCCCAGAAACTGGTGCTGAGCGTCCACCAGCGGGCCGAGTCCACGTGCAGGATCTTGGCATCCGCGGCCCAGGCCACATGCTCACAGGGGTAGTAGAGCTGGTCAGCAAGGTTGCCCAGGACAGACACACAGCGGACAAAAGCGTCCTCCCCCTGCGGGACCAGGAAGGGGTGTGTGGGCTCAGGCCGGGCCAGCAGCTGCCCGCGCTGCTGCCAGGGGACAGTCGGGAACCTGCTGCTCCCTGTGGATAGGGGTGCAGCGCAAAGCACGGGGCCCCTGGCGGACCGAGCCCTGCAGAGTGGCCGCCGATGCCGACGAGTCAGGCTGGGGCCGCATTCTGGGCCCAGCCCAAGTCTGCTCGGTCCCCAGCCTCCTGCTGCCCAGCTCCTTCCTGGTGGCCAGCTGTCAGCCAGCCTCAGTGGGGTTCAAAGCCCCACATCATCCCCCCCCCACGTGATTTGGCACTTTCCACCCTTGGTAAAGATGCCCCACCTCGGCCCACGAGCTCCTCCCAGTGCCATCTCTGGAGAAGCGGCAGGTGCCCGCCCTCCCCAGGGAGCGATGCTCTCGGGGCCGGGGCACACACAGATGCGAGGTCCAGCAAAAGGGCTCTTGTTCCAGCCAGCGGACACCCCGTGCAGTCGCCGCCCCTCCCGCCAGCTGCGGCCCTGGCAGAGGTGCTGGGTGCCTGCCCTGGCCGGAGGCCACACGGCGCCGGGAGCCAAGGTCAGAGGGCATCGGGAGAGGCCGGGAGCTGAGCGGCCATCTCACGGCCACGGGGATGGAGTGCCAGCGTGTCGGGGACTGTTGCCTGGGGGGCGAGAGGGCCCGCGGGGGACAGGCCACTCCGGCCGGCGGCACGCACACAGCACGGCGCGGCCCTTCTGTGGCTGCGGGCACCAAGCAGCCACGCCTCACGGCAGGTGCCGTGAGAGCCGCCAGCCCGCCGCGAGCGGCACAGGCACGGGGCGCGCGGTCTCGGGGCGAAGCAATGACCGCAGCTGTGCGGTCAGTGAAAGGCCAAGGCGTGGGGCAGCGTCCGAGGACGCAGCCGCCTGTGAACAGTCGCCTCCGTGAGTGCACAGCCCACGAGGAGCCGTGGGGGGCGGGCAAGTTTGTCTCTAAGGGGGAAAATGGGGCTGGGGGGGCCTGGGAGATTCCATTTTAATGAGACAGTCTTGGGACATACGAAGGGATGGGCTGTTTTGCTTAATGACACTTCAAAGGAGAACATGCACCGATGTAAAAAGTGCAATTTGGGAAAATGGTAAGCTACACAAATGCCCAAGTCACACCCCTTCAGACAGGCCAGAAGCACGGCTTTCCGGGTCTGCACCCCTCAGCCCCGGCGTTACCTCTGCCCCCAGGCCGTACTGCGCAGTGTAGACAAGCATGGCCAGGTCGTCAAAGAGCCGCAGGACGGTCCTGCAGTGACTGAGCTGGGACGACAGCACCAGCAGGCGGGTCCCCACTTCTGACCTGGCCGGACATTGTTCCACCAGGACCCCGCCGACCAGCTGACAGCCGTACCCTAGCGTCCGGATCTGTGGGGAACCAGAGGCAGTCAGCACGGGCCTGCCCCGGCGGGAGCTGGTCACCCCGCCTGTCTGGGGCGCTGTGCGATCAAACAGGCAGAAGCGTCTAAAGCAGCACGACTTTAATGAGAGCTAAGGGAAGTTTCAGAGACCGTAGGTGGGACAGGCCCCAGGGGTCCACGGGGTGCCGGCTGCTGTGCAGGGCCTCCGGAAACAGGTGTGGCAGCCACGAGGGAACGAACCCCCATTTCCTACTTGGAGCCTCCTCTTCCCAGCAGGCAGGAGGGTTACGGGGAAACGGACAGTGATCAGAGGCCACTGGAGCACAGCCTGGGCTGGGCTCGGGGAGCCTCTGGGGCCCCAAGCCAGTGGACCAAAGGGTGAGCTGGCTGGATGGCACGGAGGAGAGGGTGGCCTCTGGCCGGGCACTGTGAACCGGCCGCCGTCCCCCTCGGCCCTTTATTTCACCTGCCGCCTTTCAGAAACTAGTTTTTCCTGGTGGCTTGTGTATTATTTTGACTGAACTGCTCAGCTGCTTTGGAATGGCCGACACTGCCAGGTCCGACGTGGTGGGCTTCCTTAGACCCTGAGTGGGGGCTGGCTGGCGCCAGGGGCCCACCCACAGGAACGTCCCCTGGCACAAGCGAACTGGACACCTAAGGGCGGCCAAGCTGGGAGTCGGACCTCAGGGGCTCCGAGCATGCCGGCTGGGGGTGGTCGGACCCTAACCGCCCAGCCCCGGGGGCGCTCTGCCAACCCCCAGCGCCCACAGGAGGTTGCTCGGGGCAGCCCAGGGCCAACGACAGTGGCCTGGTCAGGGCCCAGTGGCCGGCGCGGCTGCCAGGTCGGTAGGGGCTTTGCTGGCCATAAGCACCGGCCGCAGGGGGCGCCCGCGATGCCCTAAGGTGGCGCGCGAACTTCGGGCCGGGCACC